CGTCGGGATTGGATCCCCAGTTCTGCCCTGACGGGTGCATTTATTTGCGGAGCTTTGATTTTCCCAGGATGAGTTTTGGGGGGGGGGGGGGGGGGGCTGACTGGCGGCGTCCCTTTGCTGATGTTTTGTTTCGTCAACGAGTATCGGGAAGCAGGCTATATTTTTCATTTCATCCGAGACTTACGTTTCGGCTGCAGCAGTCTGCTTGCTCTATCCTCAACCCACCTTGTACTGGTTGATGTTCTTCCGTGAGTGGAAAAGAACCACGCTATCACCTAATGTAGTGCCCGCATCATCGAACAGGCGCTGTGTTTGAACGCTGCTACTAAAAACTAACTGGTGTGTTTCGCGCATGCTTCCCCCGTTGTCTCTGCCCACGCCCAAATTGCTTGCCCGATGCCGCGCTCTTGCGCTCAATTCGCTACACCCTGTGGATCAGACATAACCATCCCTCTTCTGCCGGCCCCACCGAAGGCAGTGCACCGGTAGCGCAAAACCTCCAGGTGCGTGCTGCGCTTGGGCTGTAACTCGAACCGTTGTTCTTGACCACGACAAAGCAAAGCATCGCTCAACAACTCAAGCCTCCATGATCCCATGTCGGTTTTGCTCTGGTCACGGCCGCACCAAGTTCCGGCAAGCCCACCCACCCAGCCGCTCGGCCAGGCAGGCAGTCGGTCAAGTGGACGCGGGAGGGTGTACCGTGTCCCACTGCTCGTCGCTTTTGGCCGAAAAGACTAGTAACCGCCTCTTCCCACATGCACCACGGAGTGACACCGATCGTTCGTTTTGCTCCCGGCTGCGCACACCAGGTACAGAGCGAACCCTTGCGGGACACGCTGGCAGAAGAGGAGCGGGGGAATGGTCCCGGCGACGCCGCCGATGTGCCCCTCACATCAAAGGCGTCATCTTCTTCGAAGAAGGCACTTCTCCCGGAGGAGGGGCAGTTGCCAGAACCGCCGCCGGCGACTTCGGCCGCGGAAGCGACAGAGGGCGCGGTAGAAGACGGGGAAGGGAATTGGAGCGACGACGGTGAGGCTGGCGGGGGGGGAAACGGGGCCGGGAACGGGGTGCACAGCCTCACGGTAGGAGGGGAGAGCGTGGCGGCCGGTGCGGCCGAGACGGGGACCGACGCCGGGGTGGACGAAGGAGAACGTGCGGAGGAACGGGGAGAGCCCGGCCAGTCGCGTACGGAACCCGATGGAGGATCGGAACACCAAGAAGAAGGGGAACACGACGACCGCACGGAGGCAGCGGTTAGCAACCTGCTGGACGACATGTTCGCATCGGAAGAGGCCGCTGGCGCGGGGGCTGCCGCTGCTGCTGCCGCTGCTGCGAAGCTGGACGCGGGCACGAGCGACGAAGCGGTTAGCAACCTGCTCGACGACATGTTCGCATCGGAAGAGGCCGCTGGCGCGGGGGCTGCCACCGCTGCCGCTGCTGCGAAGCTGGACGCGGGTACGAGCGATGGGGGACGAAATCACGAAGAGAAGCAGCCGCAGACGACCGAGGGTGACGTCGGAGACGCTGCCGACGACGCCCGCAGCGAGTCGACGGTGGGTGCCGGCGGCCAGTTAGAGGGGGGTACAGACGACTCTTCATGGGCAAGGGGCAACGGTGAACGTGGGGGAGGGATCGATGGTGAACAGGACCAAGACGGCCTTGGCCCGGGGGCAGAGGATTGGGGCGGAGGAATGGCCGATGGTGCGGAAACCGGGTCAGCATCGTTCCGCGACGAGCTGTTCGGCGAGGGGCAACAACGGGCGGCCGCCGCTTCTGTGAGTAGCTCGTCCGCGCGGAGACCAGATGGAATTCCGAACGGGGGTGGGGAGGGCGGGGGAGGCGTCGGCTTGCATGAGCAGCAGCAGGCCGTGGTGGACAATACTGACCGCCAGGGTTTGTTGTCGCAGCCTGGTGGAGACGGAGACCAGCAAGAGCCGCAAGGAACAGTAGGTGTTTCCTCTTCAAGGTTGTTACAGGTGGAGGACAGACCAGACTCACAGCAGCAGCAGCAGCAGCAGCAGCAGCTGCTGCAGGCGGAGGCAAACGGTGTCCCAGAAGCGTTGGTGCAGCCCGGCGGAGAGGGAGATCAGCAGCAACAACCGGTGTGGGAGGAACAACAGCAGCAGCAAGAGCAGCAGGAACCGGAAGATGTGGAGCCCCCTGCATGGATGGTTGCGCTCGAGCCAGTAACGTTGGTGCAGCCTGGCGGGGAGGGAGATCAGCAGCAAGAACCGATGTCGGAAGAGCAACAGCCGCAGCAACAGCAGCAGCAGCAGCAGCAGCAGCGGGTTGATATTGCGCCCGAAGGGTTGTCGGAGCCCGGGTTACTGCCGGACCTACAGCAGCACCAGCAGGAGCAGGCGGAGGCAAACGGTGCCCCAGCAGCGTTGGTGCGACCCGGTGGGGAGGAAGATGGACATCAACAACAGCCGGAGAAACCAGCAGATATTGCGCCTCAAGTGTTGTTACAGTCTGGGGAACTGCTAGACACGCAGCATCAGCAGGAGGCGGAGGAAAACCGTGTCCGAGAATCGTTGGTGCAGCCCGGCGGAAAGGGAGATCAGCATCAACAACCAGCGTGGGACGAGCAGCAGCAAGAGCAAGAGCAGCAGCAACCGGTTGGTGTTGTGCCTCAAGGGTTGTTGCAGCCTGGGGATTTGCCGGACCCAGAGCAGCGGCTTCTCCAGCCGCAGCAGGCAGAGGGGAACGGTGGCCCAGAACCGTTGGTACAGCCCGGCGGAGAGGGAGATCAGCAGCACCAACCTGTGCGGGAGGGGCAGCAGCAACAGAGGCCGGTAGATACTGCGCGTCAAAGCTTGTTGCAACCCGGGGACATATCAGACACACAGCGTCAGCATCAGGAGCAGGAGCAGCAGCAGCGGCAGCAGCAGCAGAAAGAGTCGGAGGAATCCCGAGAAGACCTGCCGCAAATGGAAGTGCGGGGTGACGAGGCGGGCGCCCCTGCAGTTGCTGCCGTGGTTGAGCCGCCTGTTGTCCGAGCTTCCAACGGGGCTGCTCCCGGTGGGATGGAGTGCGCAACGACCAAGCTAGGGGAAGGCGTCGACAGCATCACGAACATTGCGACGTGGAGGGACGTTCCCGGGTGAGCAGAGAGGGGTAGCGGGGTTTGAGTTCCTACGGTCGTTCGACGTTTCAATCGGGTGCCTCGGTTCGCTGCTGAGGTTGCTGATTGCATGGCACACACCATCGTGTAGTTTTTTTTTTTTGTGTGTCTCGCGGTTTTTACGAAATTGGGTTTTTGCTTAGGCTCTACTGATTGTGGTCTTTCTCACGCCTGGACTTTTCGGCCTACTTGTAAACAACGCCGATTGTTGTGTGGACTTTTCTCGGAGGTGTTGACAGCGGGAAAACAATATGCATATTTTCGAGCGTCCTGTCCGTCCCCGGGTGACGAGAATATACAGCCTGGCGACCCTCGAGGCCCGAGCATTATTTTCCAAGAACGGGAAAAGTCGGCTTTGATCCTGCCCTCTGCTCTCCGACACCAGAGGCCCTAATTATTTTGTCGTTGATGGCCTTCTGACTTGTGCTGTATACAAGCCGTCGCGTTACGCGGTACAAGCAGGTCGCCACGCGTGCGTAGCCCGTTCGCAAGTCGCTAAATAGTCTGTGCGGTGCTATCACCGTCTTCGTTTTTTCCCTTGTTTTTTTCCCGTGCACTATCAGTTGCTTTGTTCCGGTGCGCAATACGTTGCGTACACAGCGCATGACAAATCACGACGTCGTGCGTTTTTAGTAATCGATCGTATTTTCCCTTTTGGTCCAAAGTACGATACGTTGTTTGTTGCGGTGGGACTCCACTCGTAGCCCGTTACATGTCGCGACTTTGTGCGGTACATCTGTCAACCCGATCGCGTTTTTTTTTTTTCGCCGCGGACGATCCGTCGGATTGTGTTGGTGCCTTCAGAGACGCAGCGTACCGCCACCCCCTTGCGGAGGAGAACGCGAGCAAGTACGTTACCCTGCAGAAGGACCTCGGAGGTTTCAACAACATCCGCCTCAGCTTGGAGTGCGCCGTTGCGATTGCCGCCGCCACCGGTCGAACGCTCGTGATCCCTCCACCCTTCCAAATCTGGAACATGAAGGGCACGGCCAAGAAGGTGCGCGGTAGAGTGCTGCATGCCGTTCGTAACACCCGTGGATTTTGTTCAGGAGGAGACGGCGGCGTCATGCCCTCGTGGCGTGTTCATACCCGGCCATGCTGGCGGAAGGGGCCGGATAGATGTCGGAATGTTCGGCGTGCCTGCCTGTCCCTTTCAGAAACGCCGGCAAGTAGTGCTTGGTGCTTCACCATCAAGACGCTTCGAAGGCACCAGCCAAACACATTTTTTCACCGGCACTCTTTTGCACGATGTTATTTTGCTTGATGTCTTCCGGCTTGGTAAACGCACGTTGCGTTTTCGTCTGTGGCGTTCTGGGTTTTCGTATAGATATCTGTCTCTTGCTGTTCTTCTGCTGCAGGAGGTCGACCTACGTGAACTTTTTTCTTTCGACAAGCTCCGTGCGTCGGGCAGAGTTAACGTCATCACCACGGCCGAGTTCCTGGAGCGGGAAGCGGTTACGGGTAACCTCGGCGTACAGCCTGACAAGAGCGTGATGCTCCTAGACGTAAAGGTATGCTGGTTGGTTCTTGGTAGGCGAAGGCTTGCCCCTTTTGTTCAAAATGTTTCGCTCGTTGTCCTGGAAATTGATTTTGTCATTTTCGTTCCCGCTTGATGCCAGCGGTACGTCCGTTCAGTATGAGCCAGAAGGAGCGCTGTTCAATCACAGCGCTTGTCGATGTTCTGGAGGTACGCCGTGTTTTCGCCTTCTCCGAATAGAATCTTGGTAGACGCACGAGACGGAGGAGTAGAAGAGGAATGGGAGCACAGCAGTGTTGCAACTGGCGGTGGTGTCCCCGCGATCGGCAAAGGGGGGGGGGTCTTGAGGACGAACCCTTGATGCTGCTCGCAGCAGCGCGTTGGGCTAATCATCGTTCGAGTCGAACTGTTGGGCATGAAGCATCCTCCGTGGGTGGTGTTCGCCGAGACGACGCATCGATCGACGCAACCTAAGAGTCTGTGAAAGAAGTCACTATCTACGGCTGTGCGCCTTAGTTGTGAAGTGCTTTTTTTTTTGCCAGACTCGTGTGTATCACCCGAATGACGGCGTCGCATCATAAACAATCAGCCAAGGTAAGGGCGGGGGCTCCCTGACGGCATCCTCCCGTTCTCCTCTTGCACGTGGAAGACGTCTGCCCGGCCGATGCAAAAGAAGCGGGCCCGCAACAAAGAAAACTTTGGGATTTCCGTCAAGGAATATAGATGGAAGCTTGGCATTCCCGATGAGAAGACGAGGCTCAAGTTTTCCATGTTGAACGGGGACATTTGTGCTTGAAAAGCACGGAATCCTACCATGCACCGTAACCACCAAACTAGAAATTGATCTCCAACCCGACTTGATCACGGGCGGCCCGTGCTCTAGGTTGGTGTGGCGGCATCAATCAAGGTTTCACTCTGGTGTTTGCAACTCTAGTTCTTTCCTCTCTTTCACTTACTCTCCTTCCAATTTCTCTTTCTCTCTCTCCCACTCACTCACTCACTCACTCACTCACTCACATCCCACTACTATTCCTCAAGCCCCCTGCCATTCACTCACATCAACACTCTTTTATTTTCTCCTTGCCCTTCATCTCGGTTCCGCAGGCCGTCGAAGCATACATGGAGCAGGTGGCGAGCCAGTACGACGGGGGCCTCCCGGAGCTGAGCGTAGAAAGGGCGGCCCTGGTCATGCCTCGGCGGATAGACGGGAAAGTTGACCTCGAGGTGTGTAAATAGTATATGTCTTGACTGGCAAGGATTCGTGTTTTGGTTTCAGGGGTGCGGTGGTCGCACGGAAGAAGCCCTCTCACCGTTGTGCTGAGTTGAATCTCGTCCATTTCCTGCAGGCACCCGCCAATGGCAACTTTGCAGTTTTTTCTTTTTTTTTTTGGTGCGGTTGGTGTGCGGAAGTCGGGTCTGTAGACGAAGCGATGTTGAGTGGTACGCTGAGCAAGAAGCTTGTCATTGCGTTGTTTCAGTTGAGCTTGGGGGACGAAAGCTGCCCGACGTTTTCGTCAAGAATCGCGCCCGAAGTGACCGCCGAGGTGCTCGGCTTTGCGGAAGTTGATGTTGGGTCAGAGCTGTGTAGACTCTCCGCGACCACTGTTCGATTTCTTGAATACGGCCGCTATTGTTGTCCCAATTTCCAACGACTTCTTCCAAACCATGGGACTTGCAGCACTCTCCTCGCTGCATCGATCAGAGGCACGCGACTTGGGACCACCGCGTTTCTCACCGCGATGTCCCCCCCGGATTGTGCTGTTTCCCGCGTGTGTTAGGACGAGAGGTACGGGTTCGCCAAGAAATGGATCTATGGGAGAGAACTGCTCGAGTATCAAGGACAGCCATGGGAAGAGGCGAAGGTAAGAAGTCAGAATTTGACTGCTGGGCGGCCGGGCCGAAGGTCGCCGCGCTCCTTGGAAAGGAAAACGATCGTGGCCGCGTTGTGCAGCCATGAGACGCGCCTGTAGGCTATAGCCCTTGCGTTCCTTTGTTGGCGCACCACCCCGCTGCACACACTGGCTGTAGTTGTCACTTTTCAACTTTTAACAAACCAAATACCCAGACTCTGCTCTCCACAGCTGCACCTGCATGCATAGAGGGACATGCCGACTGTTCCCCGCAGCGCCTGGTCATGCACGTTATTGGGTGTGTTGTGCAGACGTACGTACGGCAGTCTCTATTGGAGTGGCCCAATGTGGGGGGCTGGTAAATGTGCGGTAGGAGAATACCCTTGTGGCCGCAACCTGAGGACACACTCATGAGAATGCCGCCTTTTGTGACGGGCTCAGTTTTGGTCCTTGTAAGGGCAGCCTCGCGGCCAACCCAATCATTTATCATTATGCCGCATCTGTTTTTTGGGGGCAACGGGGGGGCAGCCTACCCCCGACGGAAAGCGGTATCGGTGTTAATGTTCTTGGGGCTTGGCTTGTGTGTGGCAACGAAAACAGCAACGAGTCTAGACAGGCCCAGCACGTAGACTGACGTTGAGGCATCCCGAGAGTACGGCCGAAACTCTTCTTCCGGGGGTTGGGGGTTAACACGACCGCAACACCACAGTCAGTGACGATTCGTTGGTCGCGATGTTGTTGCTGACAAACTTGGCCTGGCAGGTTATCCACTGGCGAGCGAAGGAATCGCGTCTGTTGGCACCGTTCTACGCGTTCGTGCTGCACGCGGACGAGGCGTCCGACCAGTACCACAAGCGCCTCCTTCGGGACCTGATGCACTACCCCGAGGAGGTGTACTGCAAGGCTAGTCAGGTGAAACCAGGGAAGCGGCTTTCTTCAGTGGCACCCGGCCTAGCTCCTCGAGAGGTGGTATGCAGCAAGGCCAGTCAACGAATGAAGCGGTTTCACCCAAAGCATTGTACTCTCACTGTAATGTGACAGAAGGAAGCAGCTTCTTCTCAGATGTATCTTGTCTAACCCCTGACGAGGCATGCACGAAGTATTCAGCAAGGCCAGCCATAGAATGAAGCAGTTGCATCAAAGCATCGGACTCTCAAGAGATGACTGCAATGCTAATAGTGAGGTGAAACAGTTGTGCATTTTCTTGATCGCATCTAGTCTTACCCGTAAGAGGTAAACTTCTGCCACGCTAGTCAGGTTAGAAAGTTAACCAGCGCCAGTGTGGCGTCTAGCCAGAGGGGTACCGCAAAGCCTGTCAGCTGTACAGAATAAAGCCAGTTTCGGCAGGGCATCTAAAATCTAGAGGGCTGCAAGACCAGTTCGGCGAAGATTAGAGCAGGTTCAACGAAGTACAAATCAGCCTGGAGTACGTACCTGCTATATCCGAGTCCCTTGCCGAATGGTGGTACGTCGTACGGCTACGAGCAGCCCGTCCGGGAGAAGATGAACTTCACTGCTATGGTGAAAAAATGGAAAAAAAAAAAAGAAAAGAAAAATATATGGCACCACGAATATTTGCTGTGAAGAGGTGCCCCTCCATGGCGTTTATCATGGTATCATGCGGTGACCGTACAGGAAAACGGACACTGACGCGCTTCTCCTAGGAAAGACAAACTCAAGGGCAACACTGCAATGCACACGGCCACTTGCTAGTTAGTTTTTGGGGCGATGGCTGGTTTTGGTGACGGGCTTCCTGCTTGTCGTCGCTCATGCAGAATGTTGATGCCGTGTGCCGTTCCTCGCCGCCTCGCTGTGTACTCCTGCCCGTCTTGACGGGTGTGCAGATTATCTCGCTTCTCAGACAGGAAGACCCGTCCGGCGAATTCAGCACGTTCCACGTCAGAAGGTGTGCGAGATCTGTGTCCGGGTTTGCCTGTTTCTAGTCCAGGTTGCCTGGGGGTGTGCTTCATGTAAGATACATGGTGCCATGCTGCAATGGGGCTCTGGCTGTTGTCTGTTTGGTGTTGTTTTTCATTCGGTTCAGCTCGGTTCGAAACCGGCTCGTTTCGTATTCGGTTCGGCTCGATGAAGCTTTTGTTCGGGTGGATGCTGTCACAGGGGCCAATAGTGAGAAAAGTGTAGCGAAGAAACAGCATCGTTGCTCTACGCCTGGATATTCACGCCACAATCGAGAGCTTGAAAGGCTTGTTTGTGCGTGGTGACCGCAGCACCACCATGCTCGGAATCGATTCAATCGAGCTCTCTCTTCTTCGCAGACGCGGGCCCGAATGGCCTGGCCCTTTGTATGGTTCGGTGCGGCGCATCTATTTTTAAGGTGGAAACCCTGTCTTTTTTTCAGTGAATGCAAGGAGTAGCGTATATGCGGATGGAGGCAGCATGACGTTCACAGTTCTGTTGCAGCGGAACCGGTACAATGAGCATTCCAGCTGTTTTCGTGGAACGGATATTCCATGGTATCATTTTTTTCAGCTGTTCAGCGAAACCGGTGAAACCAACCTTCGAGCAGGTTATCGGAAACCGGCACAAGATGTCCAGCTGCTAATGCGAAACCGAGACATTTGAACGCCTTAGCTCAATCATCGCTCGAAAGAAATTGCCGCGCCCCGGCTCGATCGCGTCCCCATCCGTATTGCGCCGCCCGTTTCGACGGTATCGCGCGACGAGCGAAACCGGGACATCGAATGTGATGGCGCAACCATCGCTCGAAAACAATTGCTGCGCTCTGGCTCGGTCGCGTCCTCGTCCGTATTGCGCCGCCCGTTTCGACCGTATCGTGCGAAAAGGAACGACTTCATTGGAGTTTACAAGATGGTCAACCTCCCCTTAGCCGACGTTATCGCAAATAGCCTGGTGAGAAAAAGGCCCAACCTCGCCACTGCCGAGAGTGGCTCCAGCTTACCGTGTGGCCCATGAAGTGTGACACATGCTTCTTTTTTCGTTCCCCGTCTTTGCCTTTCTGTTCTCGTCCTCGTCGTTTTTCTTTTCCTTGCTGTCTCCGTTGCTGTTTTCGCGCGTTTTTTTTTTCCTTTTGTTTTCGTCTTGTTTTTTTGTCATGCGTTTTTCTCCGCTATCTGAAACCGAAGGAATGACTTTGGCAAAGCTTACAAGAGTGTCATGATCGATCCGGCTGATGTGATCGCGAATAGTTTGGTAAGTTGAGTACCGGGCGAATGGGCCTAATAGTTCCGTCTTCCCTCGACCGGCCAACGGCGTGATTAGTGTGGTATCTGGCGTCCACATCGTGAAAAATCTCTCGGTAGTGTCAGCCATTTTCCCCCCGGACGGAAAGCTTTGTCATCCTGCCTATTTCGGGAAGGTGCTGCCTCCCGAAACGGCAGTACCTTTTGGCACGTTGCGTCGTTGGATATGCGGTTTGTCCGTCGTATTTTTGTGCTAGTCTCGCTCAGCGCCACTCCGGTGCTGTCGTGAGCTTTTAAATTCCTCCAGTGTACTAGAGCTGTGACCTAGAAACGCGAATGTGCACAGTTTTTTTCCCACGGTGGATATATGGAAGAACGCGCGAAGCCATGCCGGCTCCCGCCTACACCTCCTGCCGTGTCCCTGTCTCCCTCGTGTACGTGTGTGTGTGTTTTTTTGGCAGGACCACCTCAACGATAACGAAGTGGTGTACGTTGCGACCGACGAGAAGGATCTGTCGGTGTTCGAGCCCTTCAGGAAGAACGTTCGTGTGAAGTTCTTGTCTGACTACTACGAGCGAGCGGGCGTGTCCGAGCTCAACCCCAACCTCATCGGCATGCTGGAGCAGGTGCGGTGTCGTTCCTGGGTGATTGTTGCCTGATGTGTAAACTCGACACTAGTCAACTTGTAATATGTAGTCCCGTCTTGTGCTTGGACTTGCCGGAAGACGTAGTTGTCCTGCTTGAATGACGCCGCCTTGCATGTTTTGCGAGGTGTCCATGTTCCCACGCGTTCCGTGCGGTTCATGGCGCCAAGACGTTCAACGAGTGTACCAGTTATACAGCCCAGCCCGCCCGCTTCGTTGTTCTGGCGTCCGCTGTTGTGCCCTGCTCGTGACTGGCGTCGCGGTTTCCGTGCCCCACTGCTGCGTCCCCGCCCCAGGTCGTCGCGAGCCACGGGCGGACTTTCACGGGGTGTTGGCTGTCCACCTTTACGGCGTACATTCTTCGGCTCAGGGGACACCTACAGATGCCCAGAAAGTGAGAACGCTCGCAAGTCGTGGCGAGGGAGAGATGCTTCGTGTCTTCTTCGTATTGTTCGCACTTTTTTTTGTTTTTTTTCATGCCGGGAACGCCCCTCGTTTTTTTTTTCATGCTTTTCTTCGTGGGGTGTCGTTGCTGTTCCAGCCAGACCTTGAACTGTAATAATTACAGTAGCGTGGACTTCTTTCCGCGTCCAGGGCCTACAAAAGCTTGAGGATTGTTTTTGCTATGTGTCCCTTGATTCCCAACCAGCATGCATTTGTATGCCGCCCTCGAAGTAGTTGCCCTTTGTACGAGGTAGAGGCCATGTGCTTCACAAAGGCATGCAATTGCAAAGGACTTGTTATTTCCCGCCGGTCTCGCAGCGTACCTTATCTTTTTCTTTTTTTTTTTGGCAGCGTCCTGTTGGAGTTTGTGACTCACGTCCTCCGATTTTTGTTGTTGGTTTCGTTTCGTGGTGCCTGTGCCCTTGTCCCTCGTCGTCTGGTCAGGTCCAACTGGTCCTACTACAATCCTAGGAAAGAGTACAACCAAGCTTACAAGCTGCCCGAGAACCCTCTGTGGATGACCGAGTGGCCCTTCGGGTGGGAACGCATCGACGAGACTGGCGTTCCTGACCCTATGGCCCCCTGATGATAGAGACGCGGAGTGACTTGAAGTAGAAACCCTCCGAAGGCATGCTTGGGGCATGATGCTTTGCACGCGCGTGCACGCCCCCCCACGCGCGCGTGTGTGTGTTGGCTGACTTGTGTTGTCCTGTCTCTTGTGAGCGTTGTCACTTCCGAACCTGTTGGTGTCAGCGGGTGTAGTACTGTAGTAGTGACCCTAGGCGTTTTGCCCCTTCTGTAGATGTTGTCCCTGTTAATACTGTGAAATGTCGACTTTGTTATGTGGTAAATCGCAGCTCTTCTTTAGCGTTTGGCGATACGTTGTCGCCGTTCCGCACGGCGACCAAAAGCGCTCGGGGTTTATTTAGAGATGCATGTTGTCGCGATGCCTCGATTAAAGGAGAGCGCTCTACATATACAAGGAAATTCTCGTGTAACGTGTCGAGGGTGCCCGATTGTTGTCGGGGAGAAGGAGCGGTGCCCCGCCTCGAGGGCGATCGGGGGTCCGTACTATGATACAACATCAAACGGACCGAAGCAGGGAGTGTTGCACCCGAGCGTCCGTGGTCGGTCGCAACCGCGTTGTGTGTGCGGCATGCGCAGCGCAGAGTTTCATGTGTGGTACATCTGCGAGGCCCCTCCTCTAGTTGGGGTGGGAATGACGTACGTGTTCGGCATTAGGCGGCACTCTGCTGCTGCACACGCGCGGAATGATCCTGGAGCGCGCAGCCTGGATTATCCCATGTTGGATTGCTGACAATGACGGAACTAGGGCATCCTCGTCAGAGAAAAGCTGCCCACGGCGTGAAGTTGCAATGCGTGGCCTTGAGGACAACCACTTCTTTAAGCACGAGCTCGATTTGCGAGCTACAATACCGGAACAAATCTTGTGCACCTTCTTGAGAGGCGTGGTTGTTTTTTTCCCCGCTATTCCGCTAGAGTAGTTGTGGAGTCATGGCACGGCTACCGAAGTCACGTAGTTCAGGATGGGTCGATCTCTCTCTCTTTGAACACCGTTGGACGGAACTCTAGTTTGTAGTGGTGCCAGCACATCTTGCTGTAGCTCTTTAGTCTGTTGAAGTACAATAGTGGCCACAGACCCGAGTTGGCTGAGACGTGTTCGCGATGCGCATGGTCGGGGCGTGAATAGCTTCCGACAGATGCTGCCTGCTTACCAGGGGCGATCTTTTAGTGCATTAGCGGAGCCATTGGTTCAACAAGGCAAGGAGATCATTTGCGTAATATCTTGTAGGGCTATAGTTGCCTCGAGTCACTGCGTTGTTCCATGAACTCCTATTTGTAAGTTTTTATTTCTTTTGTTTATTCTCGTTACGGCGTCGCCGCTTTTGGAATTTTGGTATCGAGAGCACTGCATTAGTCCTCCACTCATTTTGATTGTGCTGCTTGTCTGCGTTGTGTTTTCGGAGGTTGTCGCGAATACGAGTTAATTCGATTGTTCAATAATTGCATGCTGGTTCCCGTTATTCTTGTGAGGGTTTGGTCGCATCGATGGCTGAACTTCCCGGCTTGTGGTCGTTTCAAACCCCACGGATGCGAAGGTACGACGGAGGTTCGGCGGTCATGGGCTGAACGGCACGAATTACGTAGAGACGGTTGACGCGGCTGGAAGCTCGTGTATAACGCCTTTATGATGTTTGACAATGCCCATGGGGTGCTCGTTGTCGTCCATGGACGCTCAAGGGTGTACAGACGTACGTTCCTACAGTAGTTCACAACAACAGAACAGAAGCATGTAGATGCCAATACAGAAAACTCACAATGAAGTGCTACCGTCGCCAAGAAGCGCACGGCACGTTACAGACAAGGAAACTGTTTTTCCCTAACGCGTGGGGGACTACAGTTAGCGCCCGCACTTGCAGAACTTCATGCCCAGTCCACTATCAAGAACATATGTTTTCTGTGGCAACAACGAACGACAACGCGTTGGGTTTATGTCCCGCGAACGGCTTTGCCTCTCTGCGCCAGGCAGAGAAACGCCGAATACGTACTTTCATATTATGATGATTGTAGACTCTCGTATTTTTCGTTCCATAGTCTTAACTTTGGTGATGAGGGTTCCAACCGCCTTCCTTGCTCTCTACTCATAAGCGGAACGTGTGCCTGGTGTGAAGAGGACACAATATGGACCCACAGTCGTGTACTCTACAGTGCTGTGGAATTTCAGCCGAATGAATATTTCGACTTGCGGTTTACTTCGTGTACTTACTGCTTGGGAGTTGAAGGAAAAGTGAATCACAGTACAATATTGCAAGTGATACCACGCAAGGAGCAGCGGACCTACTCCTCCCTTCCCTTCAGTTAGTCTGTCCCTCCATGTCGTTCGGTGTCGCCTGGCGTTTGGACTCCCGTCCTTCACTCGGCGCACCATATACGTAGGTCGCGTTGCTCCTCTATTTCCCGCGGAGTTTTCGTTTGTAGCCGGTTCACGGCGGGGGTGATACGTTTTCATTTTTGGAGAATCCTCTGCATGGTTCTCATTTTGTGCCTGATGGTGCGCTTTCAAGTTGATATGAGCCGCTCATCTGCTTCTTTGTACTTTCTCTTACCATGACTTGTCGGCCTTAGTGAGCACCGTGGCGCTGTGGCCTCTCTGCCACAGTGATTCGACCGGCAGCGTCGCTCACATCGGAATGCTGTCTCTGCGTAACGGCTCTCAAATAGGCGACCAGGCAGAGATTGAAATAGCAAGATCCTGCTCAAAAACACCGCACCTAGGCCAATGCGGAAACATGAAGACATGTGATACCTGCGTGCACAAAGCATCAGACACGACATCAACATGGATCCGTTCACAGCCTCCCTGCTTCGTTACTTCCCCTGACATTACCTCCAACCCCGCCAAATGCTCTTGTCTTGTGAAGAAAAGCGCTCATTCCGCTGTAATTCCGCCAAATCACCGTACTGAACCTAATTCCTCAGTCTTCGTCAATCAAACGATATACGTAGCTTGCAATCAAGCGTTTCGCATGCCGCCAGAAAACGCAGCCACAGTTGCATGATCGCCTGCAAGTTGAAACTACAGTAGGAAAATTGGGACTGGAACCCCGATTTCCGCGGAATGGAAAACGAGAATGCCCTGAAGAAAACCAGTTGCCCCCCGGCCCCTGGAAAAGATCGGAGGCACTAACGATTACAACCAACGAGAGGGCCAGGACTCTGCTTGTCACCCCAGCGAGGATCATGACACCACCCTCTACGATTTCGAGAGCCGTATCTTCAGCGAGTCAACACAGTATCAGCTTTACGTTCGGTGTGATGATCTCCGGGTCCCCAACTCACACGTTGACAGGATTTACATACTGGTAGTTACCTTCCTGCCTCCCAAACCTTTCCCAATAACGAATTTTGGGGTGTCAATGCGTGTACGTTATTATGGCACTACTGTACATGCATCGCGATTAAGGCGACAAGTATCGTTGGCGTTGCCTGTCTGAAGCTGATACCAAATGTGTTTTGGCGAGTTCTGCTGGCTGAGTGCAGTGCGTTGTAGACAGATCACGACCCGACGGCGGATTAAAACGTAAAACGAATCAACATCTGCTCGTGGAACAACCGTCCGTATAGATACACCGTGCAACACAGTAAATGGCAATCTACCGCGGACTCTTATCTGTGGAAGAGAAAGGATGTGGTGCCACAGATAATAGTCGGTCACCGTTCGCCGTTGTGGTGACATTGTAAACCGTCGTACCGGTCGCTGCTCAGTCAATCAGTCACAAACCTTCAAACCGTGGCCACAAGTACAAAAAAAACATCTTTTGTGCTAGACTGTCACAAAGAATGAATTTATCTGAGGGTTAGGGTTGAGCTGAGATTCGAATTTTTCAAAACATTGACTATGTACTCCTATTTTCCTGTCTTGAACGCTCTGATTTGCTTCTCGAACAATGCGGGAAAATATCGAATCTCGCGGTCGCCGTGGCAGCAACCACGGCATCATGTTCATGTAAGAGGTTGTTTACTGTTGTATTCTTATCCCTTACCCAGATCATTCGAAGTAAGTATTGGATTTGGTTGGGTGAGGCCTCCTGCGCCGGCCTGTGGTCCCGCCCACTACTTTCCTGTTGATTATCCGATCTGCCACATCTTAGTTATTGACCACTCACGCCTCCAAGCTAGGTCTCGTCCACCCAAACTTTCTGTATTTTCCGCGGGGAGCACACGCAGAGAAATCGCATGTGAAGTCAGCCGACAACGGCAACGCGTTTGAGTCTGCGTATAGCTCGCTACGGATCCTCTTGGAACCCGTTGCCCCTACACTAGTGTAGTGGCGCCAACATATCGCTTCGCTACACTCTCCGTACGCCACCCGGCAATTTTCATGATAGCGTCCATCGCCGTTCCGTCAAGTGACTGCGCTACAGAACCTCCGACGCGGAACGAGTGCATGGTGTAGCGGTGCAGCAGTCCCGCCGCTCGCAAATGCCCTTGTAGGGTAGCCGTCATCTGAACCGCCGTAAGCGGAGCGCAGCCCCGAGTTCCGTCCAGCAGAACGATATAATATGTGTTTATGCCGATTGAGTTACCGACGCGACCGAGGATAGAGCCAACAAGTCATGATACGACGAAAGCGCATACGGTGCACCGATGCGCCGCCATGTGCATTCGACAAAAGTGTGCCTGCCACCATGTGCGACCATGCGCGCTGTTTCTCTCCTCTTAACTTGTTCGCCGTCTTCCTGTCTCTATCGCTCAGTTGTTGTCTTTTTGTTGAAAGGCGAACCGGTCAAGAGGACCAAACAGCGCGCATGGCCGTACACTTCTGGAGCAACATGCAACTTGCCTACTCGTCGACTCATCGTATGCGCTTTCGTCGTATCATGGTTGCAGGCACAATCTCGCGTTGGAACTCACTGGACCCACACGCACGTTCATATAATAGACCACCGCCTGAATATGCATTGTGCCGCTGAGGTGCTGCAAGGCAGTGCAAGGCAGGCGTTCAGATTCGGTTGTTGCCGACATTGTTGTTCGAGAAGTCAAAAGGAACGATCAAGACAGGAAGACTAAGGGCGAACCGGTCGAGAGGGCCGAGACAGCGCGCATCGTCGCACACTTCTGGCGCAACATGTCGCGAGACGTACACCATAGGTCAACATCGGCCTCTTGATATACGGTCGGGCAAAGATGGGGATCCGGAAGAACACGTCGATAGAAATGAATTTAAGTTGGAGCAACTGAAGCTTTCAGCTTAAAAACAAGGAGTAAAGTGAGATCCACTTCTTTGGAGAAGTATGATTGTTTCTCCCAAATTCGTCCAGGGGGTTGAAAACCCCACCGGCCAACAGCAGTACAACAACTGAGATTCATTTGTCGGAAATCACGCTAAAATAGACCGTAGGAACCGTGAGAATCATTCCTCCGAAATTCATTGAGGGAGGGGGGCAGAAAGCCCCCACCGACAAACTCGATATTCACATATACCGACAATATTAGGACTCAGGAGAAGGCGAGAGAATCATTTTTTTCCGAGATGGTCCCAGACATCAGAAGAAGAGTGACACCAACGACGGCGAAGTGGTAGCGACGAGGAAATGCATGGTCGCATACGTTTTGTGTCTCCCGGTGCGCGCGGACGGGGGTGGACTTCGGCGAGGGGGCATGGCTCTCGATGTGCCTATTCAAGGCATCGTCAAGAAATCGCGAAACGTGCGCCTTAGGTCGACATCGGAGTGCGGACTTGAATCTTCCGAACGGAGCGATGAGGACACCAAGACGGCAAACAAGTGAAGAAGAGAGCGAAACAGCGCGCATGGTCGCACATGGCCCCACACTTGTGACGTGCGCTACTGCACGCGGAAGTCAATCACACTTGGTAACTGGTCATGATTTGGGATGCCCTATCGACGCATACTCGCGATTACGCCAGCCGTGCTCCATGGGTCTACATCGGCTTTTGAGACACTGTCGGGTAAGCGTGGGGAAATCGGTGTAAGAGCGTCTCAAAAATGAAGTTAGGTCGGAGAGACTGACGCTTACAGCTTCAGAATCATGCTCACGGGTTCATGTCTAGACGTGCGTGCATAGAAGGGGGGATGACCCAAGTTCCATCAGATATCAGTTCATAGAGTTATGTAGAGGCAACGAGGAAACACCTACATACAATATACACCGTCATGTCCGTCATATAGCCAAAGTGCCCATGCAGCCCCCCGGAGGCCCCGAGCATCAAGATGGTGTCGAGCATCCTCAACAACCTTTCAGATACCCCGGGAAAACGCGCCTACATCAACATGGACGCGTGTGAGCAGCAACAATAAGGATGGGCTGAAAGTTTTCCACAAACACTAGACAAACCGTGAACACTACATAAACTACTAGTCTACTGTACAACAACAGACCGCCTTTACGTATGAGCACCTCTGCTTGTGCTGTGGCGATGATCAAGGCGGCTACACCGCTGTATGGATTTATCACAGTACTGTACCGACCTTAATGTAAGCCCGTGTACCATAGTACGACATAAAACGACCACGACCATCGTTTTTTCGGTGTGTGTCTGCTTGGCCTGCGTGTACCACATATTATTCGATTTTGCAAGTCCTACCATACTCATTGCAGCATTCACAAGACCAAGAAAAGCAGAAATAGGGCAATGTACAGCGCGACGCCTTGTCGGTGAAACCCTTACGATGTATTTAGTGGTTTATGACAATGCTGAGTCTTAGCTTCGATCTTTGAGCTCCTCACCCTCTCCGTACGGTTTTGTTTGTAGCATTTCGCAACTACAGTAGTATTAACAAATGGGAAAGAAGTCCCCAATTGCTCGAACACTGAATAAAAAAAACGTGGATAAATAGTTTCAGTCCATCGCCAATTGTAGGCGGTTGCAGCAAATAGTGTACGAAACACGCCGTCCCCCCGAATGCCCAACGCTTTCGTCCTTGTGCTTGTCTAGAGAGCCATACAATGTACGGTAGAATCAAAACCCCAACAAACTATTGTACAGTAGGGTATCACACAAGCTTCTCGTTGGTGGTTCTGCTGGCACACACCCTCGTCGGTGCAGTCAACGCAAAAATCCGATGCGACAAGAGCCGAAGGACAAACAGGCACACGGCCATGTTGTAACGTAGAAAGAAATAGGGACGCCACTCATGTCTTGCTTCACCAATTCCGTCGGCATCACGTCGATTGCGCACACAGAATCTTCTGGGCTTCTTGTATTAATCTGCCTTCTCTTCCTCTTCATCGGCATTCGTCGTCTGCTCCTTCTCCTTTTTCAATTCTGCCCTCAATTGAAAGAAGAGGACAACCGTCTCGACCACGATCGCCATGACCATGAGCGCGTGAACGGCCACGAGAACGATCTCGAACACCCTTTGGCTCGCGACGTGTTCGTCGGAAACGTTTACCTTCAGCAGGAGCCCGAGAAACATGCTCGAGAAGACAACAACGTGCCCCATGCGATTGATCCAACGATCCCACCCGGATTTGTACGGGTTCAGGGCCTCAGAAACGACGACAAAAGCGAAGGCGATCATTAATGTCACCGCGATCTGCGCCGCCGTGTTGGGATAGATGAACACGACGACGCCTGCTAGGAGGACCCGCCGGCCGCACTCGATCACCTCGTAGTAGAACGCCCACCGGTTGTAAGGCTCCCACAGGTCGGCGATCGAGGTGACACGCGGAGGGTCTCGCCGTTTGGACGTGTCCTGCTTCAACAAGTCGCGATCCCTGAAGAGAAGGCCGGCGTAGAGAGCCGGGATTCCCACCGTGTATACGAGGATCATGAAGACGGCGTACACCTGGAAGCCCTTGTGCTTGGAGGAGTCGCACTCGATGCGGTAGTCTGACCTGAGGTAGATCTTGCGGTCGGCTAGTTCCTCGCAAGCGAAGGATCTGAACAGGATCGAACTTACGCTCGAGTAGACGAAGAACGTAAGCAAGAGCACCATCGACGCATGCTTGTGCTGAACGGCTCCGAGTGTGTCTGGCTTGCGACGGTAGAGACTCCAGGCCCTAAAGTAGGTGCATGCCAAAAACAGCAAGGCCGCGATAGGGCTGATCGTGGAAACCAGCAGTCTGTCGTGGAAGTCCATGTCAATGGTGCAGCTGACAGATAGAGCCCAGCCGAGGTCGAAGTTGAACATGTCAAGGACTCCAAGGAAGTCTTCGTACACGTCGGGGTAGGTGACGTTCGCGATAGACGTGAACTGTTGCAGAAGGTCAGGCGGACAAAACGTGATTGGAAGACGGGTTAACATGAGTCCATGGCCCGTGGATGGGTCGTTGTTCCAAATACAACGCGGTGCTCGAGTCACGTCGCACGAGGCTGTCGTATGTCTTCGAACTGATGCGTGAGTTTGTACGTTCAGGGAAGAGTGTAGAACGATAGTTTCGCCGCCGAAGTACAACGAGATCATTCTTTCAGAAAGATAGTTGTCCCGCAAAAGTGACCGCTGTTATGTATCATAGGTGCGGTGCAACCCTTCCATAGTTAGTTGTACAAAGTAGGCGGAAAGATGCCAGGTGACCTCTTCCCACTTTGTGGTAGAGCCACGGATACCAAGTGCAGACTTGACGTGCGCAACACGCCCATGGGGAGCGGAAACCCGCCGGTACGTCGGAAATGCTCCGTGTCATACCTGCGTCAAGATTTGCCAGGCCGCGATGACAATCTTCACAGACTGGAGAGGTATGTACCGCGTCACCCGCTCGATCCATCCACATCCCGTGCCCATGCCGTCCTCCCCCGACGTGACGTACGAGTATATGGCAGCGAGGACGATCGTGGTCCCGACAGCGAGGACGACCAATATCACGATCCCCCCCGTGTTTTTCTCGGGGCACTTGCTGCACACAAAGCCCAGTTGCTCGGAATAACCGTTGCTGCAAACACTGCAGTCTGCGTGCAAGAGGGAACGATCAAGAACACGGGGAAAGCATGAGCTCACCGAGCGAGGCAACCGGAGGAACAACATCGGATTCTCGAGACGATTCCCTGGTTTTGTGATAGGGGGAATCGTGCTCGACGGATGCATTGGGGAGCTGGGGCCCTGTTGAAGAGGTTACCTCCACATCAGCCGTTCTTTTGTTTATTGCACAGAAGTGGAAGACTTCAAGGGTAACCGGCACCTGACGGACCGGTTGGTGGCAAATCGCTTCACTTGTTCACAATCTTCGGCCCGTATTTTCACGGGTGCGCTACTGTACGTCCGCAATGTCATCAGAAGTTCCATCACTTGGACCACATTTGCTGTTGTCCCCCCTATAGGTGGTGGCAGCATTCATTGGTAGATGGCGGGATTTCATTCCGGACACCTTCAGCCGAAAATCAAACATCTCAACGCGACGCCTGACATAAACAATGGCCATCTCCACACTTTATAAATACCTCCCGAGAGGTAATAGACCCGCCGTTCGCGCGGACATTGGGGATACCATGCCAATGATTCGCCGGCGGGGTGTTCGAACAACGGCATGAACCGCCCCGGAAGAAAGCGCAAACTAATCATCGCAAACACGGTCGGTCCTCGTTTGAATGCCCGCTGCGGTCTAGACTGCTGTACAGCACAAGAACAAATTGCGGCCTAAAGTAAGATAAGTACGAAACCCTGCGCAACGTAACGAAAAATATGTGTTGTGAAACGCGACACACAACGCGATGCTACCGAGGAAGTATCGCTTCCACCCCTCGCAAACCTATGGAAATGGTCGACTGCAAGAACCACGCACATGGCCCCTCGTAGCCCTCCAGGCAGTAGCCGGATGTGGCCGTCACCCCTCCGAGGCAGGCTTCGGCATGGTAGCACGCGAGAACGTCCTCGCTGGACTCGGTGGCTCGCCAGTACCCGCTGTCGATCGAGAGTGCTTCGAGGGTGATGTTGCCGCCGTCGCTCGTGGCATGCTCCATTACCTCTGTACAAGCCGGAACCAGAAGCCCTTCATCGAAGACGCATCCTTCGCACGTGACCTCGCATCCGCTGCACATCACCTCGAAAGGGTCGTCCGACTGCTGCCGGCGAAATGGACGGAATGCATGGCGGTGTTGATCAGGGATATTCACGGTGCGGTTTTTCTCGACGGTGCGGTGCGGTGCGGTGCGGTGCGGTGCGGTGCGGTGCGGTGCGGTCCCGTTGCGTTGCGGTGCGGTGCGGTGCTCTCCTCTCTTCGCGGCGCGGTGCGGTGCGGTGCGGTCTGGTCTGTTCGTTGCGGTGCGGTGCGGTGCGGTGCGTCGCGTCGCTTCGTTTCGTTTTGTTTCGGTTCGGCTCG